AAAAGAAAAATCTAAAGTCGCTCATTTTCTATTGAATCCGTGTCTAAATAGATCTAGATCTATATCAAATCATAGAAACTAAAAAATCTAAAGTACTAAGATGCCATCCATAGTCCGTCAAGAAATAAGGTGACCTTATTTATGCCTAAATAAGCTAAACCCCCCCCCCCCTCTCATACCTTATTTAGGCCATATGTGGCCTAAATAAGCATTCCCCAAGAAATAACTATTTTTCAAGTCACGCACCATGACGGTATGGGGTACATCCATCAAAAATCGTACCCCATACCGTCACCCCCTACGTCGCCAATTGTTACAACAAAGAGCAGCGAATGGTTTGTGGCAGTAACTAGACACCATATAAACTGAACAAAAATGCGAAACGAATCCTGCGGGAACGATTATAGAACCAATAGCTTATTTCCCAAGATGTATTGCGCATCTGCAAGCCGTAAGGGCTGAACGCGGTTCTTACCTTTGGAGATGAAATGGATTATTTCTGCTCACACAGGTGTCTGATTCTGCTCAAAATTGTTGAACTTGAAAACAAAACAATGTTGAACGGAATTGTTTAGCAGACAGCATTCCAGATTATCGCATAATTGTCTGGTTGTCCAATTTTAGGCCAAATGCGTGCCAACTGACGGTATGACGTACGTGACGGTATGCCGTACATAGGCTATAGATCTAGAATCGAGATCTAGATATCTTGATATATGGCATTGTCATTTCGGATCCCTCGATTTTGAAATGATCTAGATTACAAGCAGAGAATGGGGCAAGAATGAGCATTATGGCATCATAACAAATCATTGAATGTTGTTTGAGGGTTTTATATTTTGCTTCTTTTATAAAAACGATTTTTTGGTGATAATTCGAAAATGTTCAGAGTAGATCCAAAGTTGACCAAAGCCAGAGCTATTGGGGTGTACAATGGCTCGAGAGTGTGAAAAACAAATGGGAGGGGGGGGGATCTCAATTGTTTCAGCACGGGGTGGTCGGCTAGTCTAAGAGGCAAGGATGTTGCATAGAGGATAGAAGCTAACACTGTTCTTTTTGAAAAAAGAAAAACACTATCGAAATAATAGCGCACACTCTCTTACACAGAAAAAAAATGCTTATTACATATATAACTCTTGTCTTGACATCAGGTTACCTACTTCAAAATTCTCAGTACATCTGGTTTAAAAATAAATTGACATTAAAACATTATTTCTGTATCTGTTCATTTTCCAAGTTTTTTGTTCTTTTGTCATCAGACATCAAAATGGCAGGCTGTGGAGATGTCGCAAGTAACAGCAAGGTTGGTGAGACTTTTTAATGTTTGATTTGACTTGAGCTTTGCACTTTGCTCTTCTTTCAGTAAAGTTCACCGCCATTTCTTTCAGCCCTACCATTCCTGCCACCATGCCCCTGCACAGTTCCCATTATGTGTTTTAATGAACTGAAACTGTGGCATGCGAAGGGTTATAGCTTGTCCACTTTTGTCTGTCCGCATCAAAATGGTCCACATAAAAATATAAAAAAAATCTAGCTCATCAATTTATTAAATCTATCTGTGGCCACGAAACTTTGCCTGACACTTCTGCAAGCCAGCAACCAAACAAAAACATTTTTCTCCAAAAATCTTGATCCAGTAACAGAAAAGGCTTCTCTGTTTGGGCCCTATAATAAGAATCGTTCTTTCGATGCATACACAGGATCTCTAAAATAAATTACCAACAGCAACCTAGACTGCAAATTGCTCATTTTGAGACGGCAACAAGACCCTGCCCCCACTTTTCAGTTTAAAGGTGACAATCCATATGTGCGGGACATCAGCGACAGCGACACGGCAGCGGGACGATAAAAATCGCTCCAACAGAAATATCAATGTCTGAATCCATAAGAGCGGGACGGCAGCGGGACGATAAAAATCGCACCCAGGAGCGATTCTGCCGCTGCCGCAGCTCTGCCGCAGACAAAAATATGAATGTGGCGAAATAGGGTTGACTCATGACTGTAAAGAATCTCTGTGTGATGCAGTCATTTCATTTGACACGGAAAACTTGCTGAAACCATTGCACCCCTATGTCGTCGTTCATCCACCCATTTTCTTGATATGACCAAATGGTGCCTTCTGGGCTGTCCTGAATGGCAAAGGAATGGATGGACCTGTTCGTTTTGCTAGTGACAAAAGATCAAGATAATGGCAACTTTACAATACTGGCGAAGTTATGCCTTCCCCTATTGAGTTTGCCTCTTGCGATATCGCACATTTCGTCCCGCTGCCGTTCCGCTGCCGCACATATGGATTTAATGTGACTTGCGGTACCGCACATATTGTCCCGCTGCTGTGCCGCTTCCGCTGCCGTCCCGCACATATGGATTGCTACCTTATGCTTGCAGATTTCATCCCGCAGCTGTCTTGTCGTCTCCATGTTAGTCCTGAAAATTACTCACCCCGTCTCTTGAATCGTGTAGTTTTGAGGAAAATATGTCAACTTTTTAATGTTGTTGGTGTATGTTGTAAATGGACTATTATTTAATTTTTGGCCCGCTTGTTCCATAATGCGAACATCAAATAAAACGTGTCGGAACCTTTGTTTGCAGAGACCTACTTTATGAACAGGTTTTTAGATTCTGTTGGTCATCCAACTTTTAGACCCATACACAAAGATCTTAAAATGTTAAACAAAGCAATTAAATTTTATCTTCTTTAAACTGTGGTCAGATAAAAGTGATCAAGCTATAAGAATGACTTCAAATTCAGTAAGCCCCGTTTACACGCAACGATTAAATGTATCAGATTCGTCGTATACGAGGACTGTCCCTTTTTATCGAACTGTGTTGTCTGTTTACACGTTCCAATCTATCGTCCCGTTTTCTTTCGATCGAGGAGATTCCTCGTCATAAAGCCACCATGTCTCTTTGCGACGACAGCGAACTGCCTGCACTCTATGTGAAGGTTTCGAGCTCGGGACCTAATGAATGAAAGGCGAACATTGTACCTGTATATCACGAGAGCCCCACCCCCTCCTCTGTACATTTTTGATATAGCAGAACAGTGTCTTTAGAAAAGGGTGGCCATACTGTACCGTGCTGTGTGTAGAAAGAGAAGCTTTGACTTGACTGCAAATGTGCAACGCACCGAGTGACCTTGATGCACTTCACATTGACGATCAATTACATAATAAAGTTACTAAATTTAAATAATTTCGCATCAAATCACGTTCCCAGCGACCTACTCTGCTTATTTTGAGACGTTGATTCCGAATATTATATGAGCCCAGGTCAAAAGGTGCCCAAAATGTTTCCATTTTTTAGATTGGCCTATTCAGCACCAACATTGCTTCTGTTTACAAGACAAATGTGTGCTCCACCAGAACTGACAAGTTTTGGGATAGTTTTTTTTTCTGCCTTTAGCGAGAAACAATCAAATGCTTGACTTTCTAGACAGTGTCTCGTGTGACAGATGACACAGTAGTTTCCCCCCAAAAGAAAATTTGAGCATGTATACAGATGTTTTTCTTGCCTGAGATTAATTATAGATTATATGTTTAATCAACTAACAAATGCCAAGTTTACTGAAAACTCAACAATTTTATTGGGTTTGGGTGTGCATGTTCGTCAGTCACATGAGACACCGTATAGATTTTGTCAATATTGCTATCTGTTCCTATTTTGTCATTCATACTTGATCTGGTTTGTACACGCTTAAGCAAAAGAGCAGTTTCCCCATTCCAATCCAACATCGTAACAGACTTGATGATTCTTCACAACTGTGTCTCACGTGACACAACTATAATGACAACAAAAGTAACCACACAAAGAACAACAGCCAGTATAATAACTAAACAAGTCTGATAGTCATACAAGCACTTTTTATTAAAGATAAAAAGAATTTATAAACAAACACACAATATGACACACAAGCATTTAATATTGTCACGAAAATAGAAAACTAGTCGGGGATACGATTTTTTGTATGTGCCGGAAAACAGGTGCATACAAGATAGCGCAGGGGTCAGATCCATGAAAACTAAAGTGTACCGCCTGCATTTTTAAAGCTTTTGTCACTGTCAGTGGGGGGTGGTGTCGATGGCTTAGGCTGCCGAACACGTAGCGCTGCAAAACAAAAAACAGTGAAATGTTATTTGCAGGAGCCATAGAATGTCCATTTCAAACAATAAAATCAAACATACCTGCTACTTTGAAACTAATTGTTTAAGTGTGAAAATGGTATTGTAACAATGTTCCCATAATAATAATATTATATTGCAAGACAAAGATTTCATACCGAGGAGTCTAATGGGACAAACACATACTGCCATGATGACCATTGTGGTCATCAAATCTTGGTGTCACGTGAGACACTAGAATTGGGAGAGAGAACACTTTTGTTTTGGTTTACATGGCATTGTTCGAAATGAGCCACAATAACACGCTTATTTTTATTGAAAAATAAAAGACTGGGGTTTATTGGGCCGTGCTTTAATTTATCAGGCTCAAAAGTGTCTCGTGCTTCTTGATTTCTTGACTGAGTCTTCAAGCCATTGTCCAAACGTCCAAATTTTGTACAATTCTGTGGTTACACCTAACGATTTATCGTATGATCGATAGATCGTCCTGTTTTTGTACAATAATTACGCGTACGGTAACCGGGCCCTCACACCTAAAATTTAATTAAGGGGGAGTAAGGCATTCAAGCTCACACGTTTCGAGGTAAATTGATAAAACCAGAGTAGCATCCCCTAGGCCGTTATTTATAATTTATCGACTGACCTGGACTGACCGGTCTGGTCGTACTGCGTTTGGTTCGCAAAATGAATTGCTGATTATTTAAGTAATAGTAGCTAATTCTACGGCGCTTTGGCAGGAAAGGGTTTTGAATTTGAGGGAGAAATATTGTTGTATGGGCAACGTAAAGTTTAAAACTCTTTTGACTCCCTATCTCAGCTGAGCTTTCGTTGCACGTTTCGTAACTAACGTCTCCCCCCCCCCCCCCCCCCCCAGGACGAGTGTGTCACGTGACTCACCAGTGTTCTTTCTCGTTACTCGGTCTGCCTTGGGCGCATTTCTCGTGCAATCAAAATTTGGAAAAGGCCGCTCAGCTCTCAGCAAACTATCAAATCTTACGCAACACTCTAGGCCTAAGTCGTATCGACATCACACTTCAGTCAGCAAATCAAGAGGTAAGTGGGATTGATTTATGCGCCGCTACGTTTGTTTCTGTCGATTACTTGTTCTTGTTGATGTTGCCACGGGAAAGCCGCAATCAAACAAAATAACTCTCAAACACGACCCGGTGTTTCGCTTCACAACCCCCGGTGACTCTCGTCTTCTGCTGTTATCTATCTCGTCGACTCTCTTGCTGTCCTCGTTGACCCCACCTCATCATGGTCCTTATGATGACCTGTTGTGTCCCATTCTGCACTGGTGCAGTGCGTCATTGACTTTTAAATTTTGTTTCATGATGCGAACGAACTCGTTGCTGATAGAGATCCAAGGACATGATAGAACGCTTGCAAGCACGCACGAGGAGCTGAAAGTCAAAAATAGGGGGACGTGCGCTTTCACGTGTATCATCTAACTCACTCCACTAGGCCTACAGCCTCTGGTAGAAAACGCAGCAGTGTTAAGTTTGAGCATTATACAAGATAGATTTAACAGTTTTCGGACTGGGTTCAGTAGTTTTGGGATTGGGTTCAAGTAGTTTTGGGATTGGGTTCAGTTTGAGATTTGGGATTTGGAAGGGTTGAGTATGGAATTTTGACAGGGTTTACTGTTTACATCACTCATCACTACTGAGAGACGGTTATTTTTGGGAAGAGTTCACTGTAGTGCAAATGGGGAACGTTTTGCTCTGCTTTTTTTACCTTTAGTAATAGGACGAAAAAGACAAAGTACAAAGGCAGAGACAATGATTCAAATGTGTGTGAGAGAAAGTGTCGTCATACATTATAATGTTAATCTGGTGTATTGGGTTTCTCATGCAAGTTATGATTTTGTAATTAATTCTCCATTGAAATGTGTTGAAATAATCTTAGAGATTGATCTAGCAACATTTGACACATAAGACGCACTACCTTTAAAATTGGGACTTTAGAGGTGTATTCCATCATATGGGCACAGAGATACTTCAGATTGGCGTTTATGAAATATCCGGTCTTTAAGAGAAAGCTGGACTGGAAAGACAGAGCAAGACGATTATTTTCCCCTTGTCTCTTTCTTGAGTTGACGTTGATTCGGCCTCCCAGTTTGCCATTTTTCTACAACTGTTTATTTAGATTATACTAGAATCTAGTCTAGTTGTTGAGGAAAAAATCGAATTTTTGGCCTCTCTAATCTGCTTGCTTTTTTATGCCCGCTTCACAGGCTTATAGATATTTGTTTGTCTTTTTATCGTAACTAATATATCGATTATTTTATTTATACGCGTATAAAAGGAAGCAATTCTGTTACATTATGCTGAAAGAAGATTCCACAGCACAAGCAAGACGAGCTAATTCCATTGCTGCTATGAGGATTCTGTGTTTTAAACTGGAAATCGAACTGTTGGTTATTAAAGTTCTTTCATGCCTTGTTTTGCGACTACTGGATGGGGGGGGGGACCCACTGCTGCCAACCTTATTTGATTTTATATAAATATTACTTGTTCCTGCTAGTACGGGGTTCCTCTATTATTTTTTTTCCTGTCTCTCCTTATGTCTCTGATGTTTGTTGCTCTTCTGTGCGTATGGTAACGTAAAGATATAATGAATAAAACAAAAATTCCTTATTTATACATTTTCAACACTTAATAAAAGCAGGTAACATGATATATAAGAGAATTGTAAGGGAATATTGTATTTTTTCTAACTCGTGTCCATTTGTAATTTTTTTCTGTGAAGGACAGAGAAGCCCAGCATATGGCCGCTTTTAAGCACAAGGGGGCTATCCCAAAATATACTGTTTTGAGAAAATCAAAGGTAAAGTTTTTGCCCCTTGTTCAGTTTCTTTTAAAGACAAGGAGAGTTTCCTCTATAACCAAACAAATATACACCCCAATGACACCAAACTTCTCCTATAGGTAGGGCAATGCCCATTTTTGATGTTGGTCAAGATTTCTGGAAACCCGGAATTCTGAGTTAGCCCGCTTATCCTTAGAAAAACGTTAACACAAAATTCTCTCTAAGACTCCCATTAGGTTGTTGGCAAAGGGATTTTAACCGTGTTGGATGGAAGTAGATGTTACAAGCTTTTCATACCTCTATCACCAGCTCATGAGTGTTGCAAACTAGAAAGTTGTGTTGCACCTGTTGCAGATGTTAATCTCGAGCCAGGAGCATCTCCAGCTGCTGCGTGATGTGTGTGTGTGTGTGGGGGTTCTGGAGATGTTTATGTGTGTGCAAGTGCTAATGACTGTTTGTCTTTAACACACATAGGAAAGAGGGGGTGGTTGGTGGGTGCTCTGGTGTGGTTTGCTCCTTCTTTCCTATCAAACATCTATCGTCCTTATCTCCCCTCCTATTTTGTGTTTGTTTCTCTCTTGTAACACCTCTAATTGTGGGTGGTTGGCGGGTGCTTTGGTGTGGTTTGCTCCTTCTTTCCTTTCAAACGTCTGTCGTCCTTATCTCCCCTCCTTTTTTGTGTATGTTACTCTCTTGTAACGCATAATCTATTCTTCAGCACTTATATGACCTAATTGTGTTGCAAGCACCGTAAAACTCTTACTGAAATTAAAACACCTCAAATCTTCGGCACTTATACAACCTTATTGTGTTGCAAGTGCCGAAAACTCTTACTAAAACTTTAAAAAAACTTCAGAAGGAAAGAGAGATAGACTGGAAAGATAAGATTGTGTGCTTGTGTGTATATTTGGGAAGAACTTCCATAACGAGCAACCACCCCAACAAACACAGTAAAGAAAGAGACTTAACCCTAACCCTGATCCAACTCCTGACCCTACCCCGAACCCGAACCCGAACCCGAACCCGAACCCGAACCCTAACGCTACCGCTACCCCTATCCCTACCCCTACCCCAATCCCTAACCCGAACCCGAACCCTCTATTCTACTCTGTTTCATAGTGGTGGCTTGTTATGGAAATCCTCCCGTACATTTGTGTGCGCTTATTTTTATTGAAGTTTTGGGCTGTATTAATAATAATGCATTCAGTCTGTCATCACATAGTATACACAGGACTTGAAGAAATTACACATTCTGTATAAAATGTATTGTGTTGCTGGTGCTTTCTATTTTTGTTTTTCTGCCTGGGGTATGATCTATGCAGACTGTAATATACAAAGAAAATGTACTCATTTAGAACATAGGCTTTGCCTCTTAGAGTACGAGAGCTTATCTCTGCCTTTTTAAGTAAAAAAAACCTAAAATCTTATGCAATTGCGAGCGCTGTAAAACTTCACCAAACTCAAACTCAAAAGGTCTCTATTTGTCATTTAATCAAATTAATCATATCTGAAAGTTACTGTTGTGACTTATTTTACTTTCACTTTTAGTTAACACTTTTGAAAAGTTACTTTTACTTGAATAACAAAGACTTCCTATTTCTCCTACTGGACGTGGGTTTCTTTTTGGTACCAAATAACATCTCTCCCCAGCGTTGGCTATGGTGCCGCATTATCGTTACATTTTTAGATGGTAGTTGACTTTATCTACCCTTATAGAAACTTAGATTTTACATTATTTTATACATGTACTACTGTTTATCATCATTCATATATACACAATATAATAATAAATAATAATGATAAATGACATTTATTTGTATAGCGCTCAACCCCGAATAAAGTACACAGGACTGAGCGCTTTACAATACAGTACAACATACAACAATAACATGAAACGTTGTGTTCTGACTAAAGAAAATTATTCCAAATATTCATCTTATTAATATAAAAACAGAAACGACAATGTTGCACCCTTTATTCCTTTCACTTTCAAACAGCAAATTTTCAAATAAAGTGAAATTGGCTCCCACTGAATACGGTTAATCTAAAAACAGTGATAAAGCGAAAGAAAAGAAAATCCCATTTTCTTTTCTTCTACTTGAGCGACCTCTTTAAACCAAAATTCTGGCTCTCGCTCAGATTTCGGTATAAACAGACTCCGCCACTGTATCTATATGCAGACTTTTCCACGTTTGTGCAGTGTTGTGCCTAGGTTAAGTGATGCTTAAGGATGCAACTGGCTGGTACGTTTTTGGCAGGGGCATGCTCTAGTGGCCACCAATTCAATATCTCTATTGACTACAGGTTTTAAAAATGCACATTTTTGTTGAATAAGAGTGCTCCTACAGTATGTATCCTCTGACCTTGTACATGTATCTATTACATAAATGGAGCATGGGTGGTTGGGGGGGG